AAAAATAAACGAAAAATCCCAAAAATAATAATTATTACATAACACGATAATTAAAGTAATAAAGTGTATGTAGGTCACGTGCTATGCTACTAAACGGGCGCGTTTTAACAACAGCAACTTACTACTGTTGAAGGATATTTTATTTTACGCACTTGTTGATCAACTCCCACGGCGTCCAGACCCGTGTACATGATGTTCACCCAACCATCTCTGGACGACAACACGAACAAAGACATCAACGCCTTTCCCAGATCGTCGAAATTGTATTTTTGATTGACCCATGTGTTTTTCTTGTCAGCTAGACATTCTTTTTTGTCACGGACGTGTTTAATGTTAGGGCCTTCGCAGTGAAAAAACGTTCCTTTGAAAAGCTGTACACAAAATAAACGATTTGTTTTCCAAAACTGACTAATTTTATTTTTATAAATGTACTGGAAATTCCACTGGAAAGCCTTCATATTAACGGATAATAATATTTTAAGACTGACTACAACAGRGTATTTTTCTGAAACAGTCACATGAAATATTTCGGCTAGACGACTGTAGTTTTCCTGTAGTTTTCTAATGGGAATTTTCGAYGAGGATAAATTATACTAGGTATTCTGGCAATTTTCAAAAATGATTTCTCTTTCGGCATGTGCATTCGCAGTATGAAACATATATCGCGGTAACACATATTATATTTCTATCACGAAATTTAKATATTCTTATTTTTTCAATAACATTAATAACAACGTTTTTGACGAGAAGTTGAAAAGTGTTCAATCTATGGGTATTATTATTCAATATTTGTTATTGTCCGAACCTTAACTATGTTGTTTTTCATTATTTATAGTAATATTGTTTTTCCACAGTAAACAAGTTGAATTTCTCCACACGATAAATCAATTTAAATTAAAAAATTTGAATTCCAGGAATTGTAGAGATAAAAATAATTATTCATCAAAGTTACTTGAAAAAAAATAGTGTTATCAGAATGGAGTTATAATGACATAATGATTTGTGTAATCATTTAAAAAAATATTAACTTTATTGTGTCTGCGCTCACCAACGAGGTAACATTTTTGAAGATTGGCCTAAAATGAATAATTTTAGTAAAGTGTATAGTTATTGGTACTAAGATTGAAAATAAAACAGTATTAGCGTAACCGGATAATTAAAAAAATATATCCGTTAAATATATCATCAAACATCATTTATACGAAAAACAAAATTTCTTGGTGCCAATAACTATATTAGTTACCCTACTCCATTTTTCTCAAAAATCTTCATTTTAACATATTATATTATGGTATATGCATTGTATTATTATATGACTGAAGCACGCCGTATATGGTATATCAGTCAATAGGCTCTTGATGTCTGTACTACACTATAGCTGACCTTAATAATATAGTTCAAACAACTTAATATAAAGCGTATGCATCAATAAGTAGTATTATAAAAATCAACAATATGCCAATTATTTTAATTAATTAAAAAATATTTTATACACCACGCACTTCATTAAATCATATTTTCTGTTAATGAATTATTATTCTTTCTATTGTGGATTTTACATGACCATAAAATAATTTGAGAGGGTTTGCTATGTATTTATAATGTATATCGAATATTTATAATATAATATAGGTACATTTATATTATATTATATTTGTGTTGTATTTACAACCATGTAATTTAAATAAAACAACAGTCCCTATAATATACTAGTAAAATTTAAAATAGTTCAGGTTAAAATTATTTATAATTTTCACTTTATTTGTACATAACCTATTTAAACGGGTTATGTTGGTCGATAAATCGYAAATGTTCATATTTTATTATTCAAAAGGTGAATTTTAATATGGAAATTTAAATAATTATTTCAATGTGGGCTTAAAAATAAGAAACAAGCGAAACAGTTTATGTTAGTAAATA